AAATGCGCAAATCAAGAAAAAGCGCCAAAATTATCAAAAAGTTCCTAGTTGAATATTGAAACAGCAGCAAGCATTCGCCTCAAAACCATGAACCACCCATTTTGGTTTTTTACTCAAAACCAGACGCTTCGGACTTTCGCTGCTCGATTTTTGCCCAAACATCACTTGTGAACAATTAATCATCAAAATAAGAAAAATAGAAAAATAACAAAATCCAAAAAATTTTTGAGTAAACTTCTAAAAATTTTTTTAAGTTACGTATGATATATAAGTGTATATTTATATATATACACACACAAACACACACACACATACACACACACACACACACACACACACACACACACACTTAAAAAGGATTATTTTCGTGCTCTAAATCAAAATTTTCCTGCGTATACAATCAATAAATAACTTAACTGAGTATTCTATGGAAAGATTCACTGCTAACGGCCTTTGTTACCCTTTACGCCCATCCACTTCATCCCAGGATACCATTACCGGACAAGGACACAAAAGAATCAGGTAAGTGAATTTTTACTTATTAGATAGCCCTCCTTCCTTACTGAGGAGTTCCGGGGAGGGCTATTAATAGTTCCTTTACTCCGTCTAAGGGTAGGAACGAAACGGAGTTTTTATTTTTATTTTGTTTTCATTTTTATTCTATTACCTAGTAGATTAGCTCCTTGTCATTAGGGATTTGTTTTAATGATTAGATTATGTATGCAACAGAGGTTAATGACGGAATAAAAGTTCCAACGGCAGAATTGCGGAGCAAATAAACTGAGTCTGCATAAACCCTAGCTATTATTAAATTCTTGATTCCATCCACGCAATCCATCTGCTCGGCTAGCGGCTGCTAAATGCATGACATTCTCAGTTGATTGCAAAGTGCTTTTTTAGAATAATCGTAAAAAGTGCATTATGTCCACAAAAGTATGTGGAATTAGCAAAACTCACCAAGGTTGAGATTTTGGACCAGTTGGACACCTAATGGTAAAACACTCGATCGCGGTTCTTAAAACTCATCATATGAGAAAAGCAGTCGCAGTACAATAGGAATCAAATATGCTGACTTTTTTGAGCTGACTCTGATCCTTATTTCATATGTTCTAGTGGTTTGCCCTTAGAATGAATTTCGGCGCGAGTTGCTCTTTTCAGAAAGAACTCTGAAAAAAGAAAGTTGAAACCAATTCCTATGTTTTTTTCAAACCTTTAGAAGATTTCTACCGATTATTAAAACTGCAGTTTCTGGTTAGTAGGATGCGAGGATGTTGGCATTATGCTGCTGGGTCGCATATCTACCTGAAGTTCTACCTTCTCTCCCTAGGAAAGAAAGAGTGCTCTTCTAGAGGCAAATTCACTAAATTTCATGGTCAAACATTAACAAAAAAAACTTACGATTTTGTCCGCCTTTGAGCGCGTCAGCACGACGATCCCGCAATGGAGGCCCATTTGCGCCATTACATTGGAAAGTTACCGCTACAAGTGAAGTCATGAACTTTGTTGAGACCAGAAACACTGAAAATAAAAGTGAAGTTACATACCGTTCTCCTCTTCCACCACCTTGCTCGCTTTGAAGCTCAAAATCATCTTTAAAAATCGCTTTATCGAGTTCGTGCTCATCATCATCATTTTCTAAGCGAGCGGTTTGCTCTGCAGGCTACTTTCGGTCTCTCTTGCACCTCTGACAGCTTGACTACGATCTTCTTCACGATAGAGAGTAATACCGAAACAAAGAGAAAGGGCAATTGGTCATAAATCCGCTAGAGATGTTCCTTAATGGAGCAAGGGTGGGAGGCGATATGACTAACCGATTTCCTGCGTCATCCATCTTGGTGGTTATTCGTGTACAGAATTTCTGATACTGGGATGAAAATTATTATTGCACTTGCGATAGCAATAACTATACATGAAAGCACGCTTTCGCTGACTTCCATTCTGCAATAGACACATGCAAGGGCGCGTAAGGATGGCAGAGTCAATCGACGCGGATGTAGGAAGAAGCTGGAGATGATGAAAGCAGAGAGAGGACAAGAGGATAAGGAGAAAGTAGATAACGAGAGAAAAGCCGCTTAGAAGGGGGAATCAGCGTAACCAAGACGAAAGTGCTCCTCGAAAGTTTGATTGTGAGAGGTGGTAACTTTTTCTTTCAACTCTGAAGCAAATGAACATGAACTGCAGAAGAAACTATCAAGTAGAAAACAAAGGCGAATCAAAAACCAATCCAAAGTGTACTGAAAGAGGCAAATTCGACGATATCTGATACCGAGGATAATAACGACAAAATATAGAAAGCAGTATGCGAAGTGGGCAATTTTTGGAATCAGCACGTTGACTAACTTCTGTGAGACAAACTTAAATGCATATCATAATCGGGATCACCATAAAAAATAATGCCAAGCACATAAGAAATTAATACGGAGAGCAGTTTCATAGCTTTTGAAGAAGACATTACTTTTCCTTTACTAATTAGTGATATAAATTCTTATTAGTATCTTGATAGAAAAACGGGCAAAAATGGGCCGGAAACAAGCTGCTTCGGGCAAGATTGGCGCTCTAGTGCGTACCTTGTTTAAAGCACATTTTTTGGCCTTTGTACGTAAGCCAAATACTATATTTGGGCCGAATCGAATTCGATCATTCGATCAAATCTTTCAAATTCTAATGATTCGAAAAGTCGAATATTCGAAATCCTGAGATTTCGAATTTTATTCGAAAGTCGAATATTCGAAATTTTCAATTTACGAATATATTCTATTAGGTCGGTGCAAAAGTTTTGTCAGTTTTTTAATCCATCGGCAATCACGCTAGAATGAAGATAAACGAACACTTCAAGATGCACCCGATGCAGAATTTCTTCCTCTTTTTAGCTACTAAACTCACATTGTGTTTTTTTGAGGGAGTAATGAGATATTCGCTGAAAATTGCAACTATTAGTTTTTTTCCATGTCCAAATTTCACTAATTTTCATAATTTTTGTATGAGACTTTCGGAGGATCCCTAATAACTACCAGATAGAGCAAACCTTTTGCCAACGTACGCAATTTTTTTCTTTTTTTCAGCTGCTTATTCGGATTTTTGCTAAATAATTTTCTAAAAGTCTTGTGTTTTGGAAAAATTGCATTACCTGTCATTGCACTAAACACTGCAAAATCTACAGAATACTGAGGTTTCAACACTCGATTATTACTACCGCTACCATTACAAAATAAATGAGCGATTTTCGCTTCAAATTATGAAAATTTTGAAACATAGGTTACGTCGGTGCGCACTCCTGAAATTGAGAAATACTGCGATTTTTCCCACAAATTGCGCCTGTCTCGGCAAAAAAAGACAAATGTTGAAAGGAGGAGGAAAAATTGCATCGAATGGTGACTGAAGTGTTCAAAATTTTATATTCTACGAGGTTAAAATAGGCTGAATGTAAAATTTGGTCACTTCAAAAAATAAATCGTAGAAATTCTGAAAGACGAGCAGTGGGGCTACAAAAAATTGCACTAGTTGGCAAAAGGTTGCCCTATCTGCTGATTATAAGTGCTTCTCCGAAAGTCTCATACAAAAAATTTGAAAATTAGCGAAAGTTGGGCATGGTAAAAACGAGTGGTTGCAATTTTCAGCAAATATGTCGTCACTCTTGCAACGAAACACGATGGGTGTTCTGCAGCTGGAAAGAGGAAAAAATTCTACATCGGATACATCCTGAAGTTTTTGTTTATTTTCATTTTAGCGTGTTTGCCGATGAATTGAAAAAACCGACAAAACTTTTGCACCAACCTAAAATATTCGAGTATTCAAGAAAAATTTCGAATTTTTCTAAGTATACCAAGTACTGCACGCCACTACCTTCTTCGGGCACTGGAAGTCATCAAACAATTATGGGGAGAAATGATAAAGATGCCTAGAAATGCCTTTGATCTATTTGAGCTACTCCACAGATATAAAAGGCTATGGTGTAATCACTCTTCTCCTCCTTCAACCACTCCTCCCTACTGATAAGCCTCAGGAGTGGTCTTATACAGTTCCCTGTCTAGGGGTAGAGGCGAAACAGACTAACATTAGAACTAATCAAATGTTTATGAGTTCAACCCAGGACCTAGATTCTTGCTGAAATAGGTAAAGGTTTCCCTCTAGTTTTCTTAAAATTTACATAACCTTCTCAAGTATGTTTTTATTTCAAACATACTTGACAGGCCAACCGGCCATATTTAGACCAACTGGTCCATACTATCCAACAAGATAGTCAATCACCATGAACATTTTTGAACAAGCAAGTTTCACATGCTTTCGTTAACATATAAGCTCCTGCAAGACGAAGGCGGTCGGTTCGAGGTACGACGTGGCTGTGACGCGGCTGTGACTCGGCTGTGACGCAGCCATGTCGCAGCCGCGTTGCGCATTGATTCGACCGCCTTCGTCTTGCAGGAGCTTATACTACATACTCTCAATCACTGCTGTCATCTGACAAAAGATCTCAAGTAACTCATACTTCATATTTTCAACACAACTTACTTACAAATACATGAAATCAAACTCAAATGTTGCTCACGTTCAAATCCGCACTCTCACATTGTACACACTGAATCCTCACTCACTCACACTAAAACCCATTACACATTTTACCTATAACTACATTGACTAACTACTCGCACTGTACAAATTCACTGGAATACAGCCTCACAGCATGCTTGAAATTTATAACACACTCTCATTCAGACCAAAAACCGATGACCTAAGCTTTGACACACATTCACACCAAAATATATATATACTTTTCTTAAGCACACATTCATCAGGCTGCTACACACACTCACCACTAACATTTGATCAATCACACAACAATCTTGCTGATATACACACTTCATCCACTTCAAACCCACAAATCCCTTCAATCTCGCTCACTCACACAAACGCTAGAACCCGTACTCAATCTTGCTTATTCCATACTACAACTTAGAAAACAATACAATCAACACAAATTCTTTATCAAATCAAACTTGAGTTTACACAAACTCAATGCAGATCATAAAGTGAGAATCATTCACAAGAGGTAAAGAGGTAATGCGATCAAGATACTCCCTTCTCTCCTTTGACGTTGATGGCTCACCATCTTTGTTACGTTTGGTTCCGCGAGCCTAAATCAATAGACAGTTATATGTTTGAAGGACAACAATAGAATTTTGAGAGCAGCATCTGCTATTCCTACAAACATAGAATCTCAAACTTACTACTGCCTCGAAATACGATGTCTCGGGTTGATGATTTTCTTTGTTTTCCAATCCAGGTAGTTGTAAATCCCCAAGTGCATGGTGCCTTCCTGTAAATAGAAACTCTATAATTTAATTTAAAAACAATAAAAGAATAAAAAAACTTGCCTTATATTTTTTGAAGCTTAAAATCTAAAAGCTCTTCAAAAATCCATTTCAATCCCCAAAATCCCATTTCAAACGTAGTGCAAGTATCACCGGATCATACTGAATATAAAGAATAAAATACGTACTCATAAAAGATAAGGCCAACAAACTCACGCTACCACAGCCATCTACATCTATCTTTCCGCGCTTTACGTGTATTTCCGCTCCTTCAAACCCTCTGCAGTGTATTTTGCTTTTATCTTGTTGCGAAGATACAAGCTGCAATAGAAATATGTAATATGTGTACACATACATACTTTCTTCCTCACCATAAACGATTCTGATCGTTCTTACGCAGAGTCTTCTCTTGAATAACTAGAATGTTGGTATAATGGTCGTTATTGTACTGCGCAAGTTTCACTTTCCCAACGTAACAAAAATATCTCCAGAAACGATAGGTCATTTTGACCTAAACATATCTTCTTATCTTCAACATACCTAAACATATCTTTGACCACATAAAGAAAGTCAACTTGATGAAAGTAATGAATGTTTTGACAAAGTCATAATCTTATGCGAACTATTGACTAATTGGAAAACATTTACATTTTGGATTAATGTGTGACGATTGAACACGAGAATCTAGTTTATACTCTCACCGATAACTACTCATATCAGACAAACTTCGCGCATGCAGCATTTTTTGACATCACATAATAATGAAAATTTCAACTCAAAACATGTAAGTTGATATAATCATTTAGCTAACTTCCATACGCCTTACTGAATATCAATATGTTTCATTTTGAATCAGCCACTAAGCTCTCAAGCGGAAAACGACTTATGATGAAATGACGTGAATACATTAAGTTATGACTATATAACTAATGTCAACTAATGCAATCAACAAATACATTGAAGAACTAATTCCACCTTTTTGTAAACTAGTGACCCACGGGCCTGTAGTAATCCCCCCTACCTCGTAACGTACGAGGTCGCGAGATAAGCTCAAGCTTAGTTTCATTCCTCAATGCATTGATCGACTTGCCGGCTATCCTTCAACACACTCGTCGAATCACGTCGAGAACAGCTCGTGAACTAAGCTCGAGCTAAAGCTCGTGACCTTAGACACGACATATCTCACGAGCTCGTACACGAGCTCCACTTTCCTCCTCAGATAGTGGGCAACGGTGAGAGACGCAGAAAAATGGCACGAGACTAGAGCTCGAGTACGCCAAGTTCACGACCTGATAATCGTGCCGGAACCCGCCTACAGTACACCAAACAACGCTTCGAAACGTTAAAACCTGCCCTTTTTCTTCAATAAGCTTGCTATTTGTTGCTATCGTCACTGTCATTATTGTTAACGACTCGGTGACAGTTTCTATAGGGTATATATCATCAGACTAAGATAACTGGTCGTTGAGTTCCGGCACTTGTGCGTGCGTCAACGAAATTTCAGGCCCCTGCTAAAGAAGCCCGAAAGCTGCTGAAGAACCTAAAGAAGCAGCGAAACCACCTCCACCGAAGGAAGAGGCCAAGCCAGCTGCTGCACCACAACCTTCATCAAAGGGCCTCCACCACCACCACCCGACTTGCGCCAGGCGCATCAGGTAATATTGAAATAGCTAAAAAAGTTAATTTCACGAAAAATTGGTGTGTTGTTCTTTACTCATAGTTTTCTTTTGCGCTGAAGTAGTTCGAAGCTTCTACTATCACATGTCAGCTACTTGGAATTTTTCATCATCGGTAAAGGACGCTTATGCCCTAACATGGCTAAATTACCCAGATCTTTGACATTCTCTTCTCTTTAATGCTGTGATTAATGTAGAGATGATTTGGTATTTGGATAAACCCAAGTTTTTTCTAGATTACAACACAACCTGCCTTTTTGAAATTCTGTAATGGCAAAAAACCAATTTTTTCCACATTTGCGCATAATGAGAGTTGTATGTTAGTTCTTTGAGTCTTTCTCTCACTAGGAAATAAATTCTAATCGAATTTCAAATTTCATTTTCAAATCAGAGTGCTCCTTCTAGATACCAAATATCGAACAAAAATTTTTCTGCAACATGCAGCCGCAAAAGCGATTGAACATATGTATCAATTAGCCAACCAGTTTAGGAACTTCCTTTATTTAAGACTGTGATTGTGGCTCTTTGAAGTGACACTGCCACATGCGTCTACGCTTCAGTTTTTTCTCGTTGGACAATTGGGAAAGAGAATTTATTTGTTTTCTATAGTAATGTCAGTACTAAATAGAAAGAAAAAAGCGTTTTTCTGTAATGCACGTCATTTGAAGCAAGTGACTTTGTATAGTACTCATGTTAGATCTAAATTTTGTGATGGAAAAAGCTTCGATACCTTGAGCAAAAGTTGTCTTGGCTTACATTCGTTTACTTCGTCTTTATCTTCCCTAAATTCGCGACCTTCATTTCGCATCGCTATATCTCGGTTCACATTATCGTGAATACAAGGAGGTTAATGCCGCGCATTTTTTGTGATATAGAATGCTTGTGTGAATTTTGGTATGAACAGGATAGGCAGTCAGTCTTCAGCAGCAGCGATTGTTGTAAACGGCGCAATCACCCCACCGTAAGCAAGAATCTCGAATTATTCTTGATTTCGGTTTTTCTTACAACTATCGTAAGCAGTTCTATGTTTTAAGTGGTACTCGTCATCGTTGAATGGTACCCTTCGATTCAGAATTTCCACTTTGAATCGAGATATGGCGATGCGGCAGAAATGCTGCAAAGTACGATGACTATAGCATCTTTACAGTCTTTGCGGTATAGTTAACAGACACAAATCTCAGTGCTCATGTGGCGCTTCTCAAAAATTTTGAGAAGTGATCGCTATTTATAATCTGGCGATTATGAATAGCGATCGTTTGGCCAATGAATCGTTGCAGATGAAAATAAGAAAAATGTTGCTCTCATAAAGTAGAAAATCGCATCGCAAAAACCTACGTACCTTTTTTACCAGAAAAGAAACATTTCATGCATAAAAGAAAATTGAATGAGTTTCTTCTGTGATTGTCAGATCGATAAGTTCCGCTAGTATCTGTCTTTTTTTCCGACGAAAAAATTGTCGCTGATAAAAAGTTGTAAAAAGTTGAGGAGGTTAATCTAGATACAGTTCTTCAAAGTCGCCCTTGGATTTCCTTTGCCCTTGCTTATCGATTGAAGTTTTTAGGTGAGCAAAATGGTTCGAAATCCATTCGTGGTTCATTCTGAGAAGGACAAGCCCGTTCTTGAGCACCTTGGGCGCTTTTGCAGGTACTTTTTTCTGCCATATTTTTGATTGTTTCATGTTTTTATACATTGCTCTTCGTTTTACATTATTGCGTTTTATACTAGCTTTTTCGCAAGTTGTTTCTGCGATTTTTGTAGTCTCCAATGCCCATATTCATCAACGAGTGGGGTTCTGCAGCCCATTTGTTTTTTGGGTTGAACTTAATGGGTAGAATCGATCTTAGGCCTAAGGCATACCTCACGCGATTCGGCCGAATCGCCACTTTCACGCGACTTGACGATTTGCCAGATTTCTAGAAGTTTATCGTGCTCGCTTCTCAGATGCATATTTGGGTAGCTTGTGTAAGTTGTTGCAAATAGAGCAAATTCTGACCAAAGACAGCGCATTAACGACGATTACGAAGAGTCGCTGTTGTACCAAATCGCGCAGCGACCGGAATCGCGCGTATGCCTTAGGCCTTAGGCCCCGGACAGACTTCACGCGACTTAATCGTCGCGATCTAATCGCCAAGATTTCCATTCATTTTCATTTCACATTCAAAAATTTTCGGCTGGAAAAGTATCACAATGCAAGTTGATCGGCATGGAATGATGTTGTAACAGTTGTCTCGTCGCGATTCAGTCGCGATGATCAAATCGCTTGAAGTCTGCCCGGGGCCTTAGATGCTTCGCTCTGCAAGACCATGTTCGTGCCAGTTTGGGTTGAGCCAATTTACTGGGTTTGTTAATGATTACGGCCACAGAGTTCTTTAGTCATCATATTTGCGTCAGAAGACTACGTTTATGCTTTCTCCTCTTCATCTCTGTTTGATCATCACTCAAATTCGGTTGGAGTTTTCATTAAATTTCTTTCTCTTTGAAGGGCTGGCTACACATTGTTCTTTCTCGAGTAGAGGAACGAACACCTCAATTTGGCACCGCCTACGCGGACTGCTGGTCCTTTTGCCTCACTAGTCTATATCATGTTGGGAACCGTAGTCCACTCTAGCGGTGCCAAATTGAGACGTTCGTTCCTCTACCCTTCTATTTCATCGCCTCGCGGTTCACCCAACAAGACAACTGCAACGAGTTTATTGCACCTGCAGCTCACCTTGCATCTTGGTTGTGATAGTTTTCGGACACCGTTAATCGCGAATAACTATCACAACCAAAATAAACGATGATCAACTTCCAATGAACTCGTAACAGTCTCGTTGTAAGAATCGCGAGACGATGAAATCGCGGATGTATGCCTGACCCGTGCAAAAAGGGCCCGAGGGCCGAGCAAGACGCGATTTCGTCGCTTTGCGATTCTCCCAACACGACAACTGTTACGAGTCCATTGCATCAATACTCCTGCACTTTGGTTGTGATAGATTTCCGACATGACTGATTGCTACTAAACATCACAACTGTAATGCAAAGTGATGGACACGCAATGAACTCGTACCAGTTGTGCTGTCCGGAGAATCGCAAGGCGACGAAATCGCGTGAACTATTTCCGAGCTTTTTAGATGAAAAACTCTTTTTGGTGCTCTTCCAGAATGCACAATCCAAAAACGAAAAACTTCGAATTTCGCTGAAACTTTGAGGTGCTGATCACGAAAATGATATTCATTTTGCATGATAGGGCCTTTTAGTGGGCCCATTGTGGCGGCAGAATTGATCCCATGCCGTATGTTAGGCGTACACATGGGGTCAAATTCTCAGATATTGCTGAAACTATGCACAGGGGGGTTATTCGACATGCTGATTACGAACATCACGCTTTTTCTGCACGAAAACGTCTCCCTGTATGTTTACGGTAGGTGTACAGTAGGGCATCAAAATCGTAAACTTGGCTCTGGCTAGAGGTGTTATTCTGCACGCTGAACATGTATCTTATATAAAGCTGAATGTCTGTATGTCTGTATGTACTTATGTTCCGAATAGAAAAATCCATTTCTGGATCGATCCGAACCATGCTTTGCACACATACACTTCGGGGCCGGCGAGTGTCATAGGCTACTTTTCGTCATCGATAGATATCGATTTGATCAATTTTTATCAATTTTTTTGCAGAGTTCATCTACAGGGCTGGGATTTGGCACAGGGGGGGG